AATTTTGAATGTGTGATATTGAACTCTAATGCGTTGTGCTAAATTGAAGACAAAAAATAGTTGTGGGAAGACATATTGATGCTAAAATGATGTTGTGTTGGTGATTGGAATACAAATAGAAACAATGATGAATGAAATGCTTTGTGGAAGGAGTAGGAATTGAAGAGATTAATGACTTTATTGATAACAGGGAGTTTATTGATTTACCATTATAGGGGAAAAAATTATGTGGTACGAAATGGGGGTGAAAATAAGTAGATTGGACCATTTGTTCATCAATTCAGAATGGCTATTTCAATATAGCAACCTATTTCAGATCACTACTGGATCAGTTTAGTAGCAAATGAGGTAGATTAGTGGTTCACTTTTTTAAAATTTTCAACTGTTAATTGAAGGTTATTGACTTCTCAGATTGGGTGGAGATAAAATAGAAGATAACAAAGGTAAGAATGCTTTTAAGACACAAACTTAAGTTGAAATTAAATTGGCTAAAGGGTGTCTTCAAGTAATGGAATAAAAATGTTTTTGGTAATATAAACAACAAAGTTTAAAGGAGAATTAACTTAGGATATAGACCACATATGTAAGAAAGCTGTGCACACAAGACCAGCATGCACAGGACAACTCACATGAAGGGTGTTCGATAATTGCTAAGAAGAGTAGTAGCTAAGTAAAGTATTTCAAGGTGATTAGAATACTTTTTATATTTATGTTTTCCTTACTTGTTGATTGCTTTGCTTGCATAACATGTAAGCCTAGTTTTTAAGATATTTATTTTTATGTTATTTAGTTTTTAAGATATTTATTTTTATGTTATTTACTTTACATGCACTCCAAGGAAGTCTAAGATTAAAATAACTCTGTCTTAAATTTACTTACGCTATAAGTAGGTTTATGATTAACTATCTCTATAAAAAGTCCTTTTATATTTCATTGTAGGATTTCCTTGATTCCATTTACCATCGAAAAAGGTTTTCTTGATTCCATTCTTTGAGGCATTTTATTGTTCATGGTATCATAGTAGGTTACTAACCTAACTTTTTCTCTGTCGGTAGCTTCAGCATTGCACATGATTTGTTCTCCATCAATAGCTTCGAGTGGCACGTGATTTTTTATACCATCGGTTGACCATTGGACAATGATTCTAATATTTTGTTGGAAAGACCACTCTTATATTGTGTTTTGTATAATCTAATATGTCTTGCTATGAATGCAATATATTCTAGCGAGTTGGTTATTCATACACATTTGAGATATTAACAAGTTTATGATTCCATGAGCAATTGAGATGGGTGAGCAACTAAAAAGGGTTTAGTGTCCGTTGCGAATATGCAAAACATCACAATTGATACCAAAACCCCGTTCTACTTACATTCGTCTGATCATCCAGAGTTGGAAGTGTTTTCAAGATAGCCAACGAGGAGCTGCATCAAACTAACCAATGAAACTAGTGAGGACCCCAAAGAAGACTTGTGGTGGAGAGAGGCCTCAAGGTCGAGGGCATTGCTTGAATCAAATAAAGGAGAATGTCGCGATCCATGAACCAGAGATCGGTCTAAGCCAATGAAAGGCTTGAATTAACAGCACACCTATGTGTTGTAGATGCCATAAGGGCCTAAGTTAGCCTTGAGGTGACATCACTTGGGGGCCCATCGACAACTAGCATCGGGCCACCATTGATTGGGGGTTTCTAAACACTCTGCACACTTGCAAAGTCCAGTTGCACTAGTAGGGTGCACCCAACGAGCTTTATAGCAAAGGCATTAAGAATGAAAGAAGATTGCGCAACTAAGTGCTACACATGTGCAAGGAGCACGCATGGGCCATATAGACCTAAAACCTGCACGCCAGAAGAGCGTATAGACATAGAATGCACAATAGTGAGCCATGCTAATCATAGCTTCATGACGGGGGAAGTTGTATGCAACACAATTGTCTATACTTAGGACACACACCTAGAAAAGGTGCACACAGGAGTTCCACCATAGTACCTTACGTTTTAGGATAGCCCACCCTTGAGTAGTAAGCCAGTTCACTTTGATCAAGAAGATGACGCACTTGAAGGCTTCACATGAAAAAGTCTTGTGCAAGAGTGTCGTACACCTAAGGACCACTCACCCTTAGGCCGCACATCATCGAGCTATAGGCATACTGCGCCAAAAGTCTCGCACAAATCTGGACCACTTGCAAGAGACCCATCTACACAAGGACAGACAGAGCATAACAACATCCTACATGTGTCTGGACAATATAAACGTCTGAGACAACCACACTTTGATGCTATTGTATGAATTCTTTGATACCTCAAAATGCACTCGGACAGGTCCCTTAGTCGAGACTAGTTTCAAAACTTTGTTGGACAAGTTGGTCATTTTCAATCTTCATGCTCCAACTTGAGGGGGAGTAAAGGAGAATTAACCTAGGATATAGGCCATACACATAAAAGAGTTGTACACACAAAGCTTGCATGCATAAGACAACTTGCATGAAGGGCGTTCGATAGCTACTAAGAAGAGTAACAACCAAGTAAAGTATTCTAAGATGGTTAAAATATTTTCCATTTTAAGTTTTTTGTACTTGTTGATTGCTTTGCTTGCACAACAAGTAACCCTAGTTTTTAGGACATTTATTTTATATCATTTACTTTATTTACACTTCAAGGAAGTTTAGGATTAGAATACTTCCTTATTGAATTTACTTGCATTACAAGTAAGTGTAAGATGAACTATCTCAATAAATAGTTTTTTGATATTTCAATGTAAAATCGAATAGGGTTTCCTTTTTTCCATTTTCCATCGAAGGTAATCAACAAAGAAAATTTAAATATGAAAAGTATTTTAATTGCCTTAGAATACTTTTCTTGGCTACTATTTTTTTTAGTAGCTATCGAACACCCTTCATGTGGGCCTTGTGTATTCGACTCTTTTACATATGTGGTCCATATCCTAAGTTAATTCTCTTTTAAAGTTTGTGAGTTAGAGGATAGATTCTTTTGATAAGATTGGTGAAGAGAGGAATTTAATTGAGGAAGAAATAGCCCTAAAAAAATTAACAATGAGCAAGCTTTGGAACGAAACAAAAAATAAAGAATCCATATGGCACCAAAAATCTCACTTCAAATGGATTAAAGATGGTGATAAAATTCGAGATATTTCCAATACACTGCTAAACCACAAGCTAGGAGAAATGCTATGGGTGGTGCGATGTGCGATGAGAAATGGGGTTTGGGTATTGGACCCAAGGGAGGTTAAAAAGGCAACTGTAGGTTACTTTCAGAATGTAGTCCCTAGCAATTAGTGGAGAAGATCGATTTTTAATAGGCTACAATTTCTGAAAATTAGTAAAAGAAGATGCTGCAATGCTTGTGGCTCCAATTAACATGGCAGAGGTAAAGTCTATAGTTTGAAAATGTGACGGCTTAAAGGCGCTCGACTCAGATGGTTATAACAAGAGGTGGTGGAACGTTGTGTGGGAAGAGGTCCTAGAATTTGTGGCGGACTTCATGCTTCGTGGTAAGCTGGAGAATGGTTTGAATTCTACCTTCATAACTTTAATTCCAAAAAACTGAAATCCATCTTTCCTAAAAGAGTTTCACCCAATAAGCGTTGTTAATTATTTATATAAGATTATAGTGAAAATACTAGCAAACCAAATGAAGAAAGTGATGCGTAAGTTGATAAGTGACAATCAATGTGCCTTTGTAAGTAGTAGGCAAATCATGGAGCATGGCATGTTCCTAGCAAATGCAAGCATTCACAACTTGCATAAGGGTATAGGGAATAATGGAGGTGTTGTGCTCAAATAAGATTTTGAGAAGGCCTACGATTGCGTGGACTAGGGATTTCTGCTATGGACAATGGAGTGCATGGGTTTTGGGCTAAAATGGAGATGATGGATTTGTGGTTTCTACTGTTAGAGTGGTTGTCCTTGTCAATGGATCGGCGACAAAGGAAATTCCTATGGGTTGAGGACTATGTTAAAAGGGAAGCCATTGTCTCGTTACCCTTTTTTTATGGGGTTGCGGCCCTATACCTGCTCTTGATCAGAGCGGAGTCTATCAACCTTTTTCACTGTATTTCGGTAATGGAACCATGTTTGCGCATTTCTCATTTGTAATTTGCTGATGATATTTGTAATTTGCTGATGATACTATTATGTTTGTTAAGGATGGTGTGCAAGAAGCCATTAACATTAGGCACTTATTACGGTGCTTTGAGGTTGCTTCGGGCTTGAAAATAAACTTAAACAAATCGTTTTGGCATATCTAGTTAGTCCTCAATCCTAGGTGATTGAGATGATTGCAGACTTTAAATTGTAGAGTGAGGACATTGCCACTCAACTACCTTGGGAGCAAATCATAGGAGTTTGAAGGTGTGGAAACCTGTGATTGACATCTTTAAAAGAAGGTTGTCTATGTGGCAGCGGAAGTACTTGTCTTTTGGAAGGCAAATAATAGTAATTAACTTAGTTTTGCACTCATTACTGATCTATTATCTCTCCCATTTTTCACACACCGGAAGGAGGTTTGGATAGTCTTGATCGGCTTATGAGAGAATATATACAACATATATGGTCCTCATCCTTCTATTGGAGTCGGAGGTGGACTTTAAGTATGTTGTTTTTCTCTCATAAATTTACTGGTTACAGATTACAATCTTAGGAGTAAAGCACAATTTTTTGGAGTCCAATCTTGTTCTCTGCTTTGGCTGCTTGCGGTAATGCAGAAGTAGGGTAATTTAAAACCATTGCATTAGCAAATAAAACTGAAATTTACAAATTTCAACTTTTAATCAACATTGTTGATAAACCCTGTAACAGAGAAAAACATTAATTGTTGATTAACCAAATAAAAAGTGACCTCGAAATAGTGATGTGGCTCGGTTTGCAGTATATTGAAAATTATCGAACAAATCCTGTAAGGGGAAAAACAAATTCTACATAAGGTAGCTTACTTTTAAAATGCTAGTGGCCACTGGGCAGATCATTTCCTATACGATACGTTATGGCTTATTTTGATTCGTATTGGTAGATTTTTCACACAAAAGTGGTTCTTCCAAGTCAAGTTTATAACTTGTCTGCAGAGACCAATCTATCAGACTTGTCTTCCTGGTTGATGATTTCTGATCATTTTGTGACTCTGAATCTGTTTTTCTATTGATCACTTGAAGGTCTTTGGCCCTTCCCCATAGCACAACATATAAGCCACCAATTACACCATCGGCACCTATCAGGTTGAAATGAAACAGAAACAGAAGTTAACCACTAAAAATAAGAAGAAACTTTGTGGAGAATCTGGGATTTATATCCTTCATGTTGTTAAAATAAAAAATTATATATTTACCTGCCCAAATAAATTTCCTCGTTCAAGAGCAAAGCAGCCGATGTGGTCACAATGACTGTACATAAAGGATTGAACACGGCCAAGAAGAGGCGGCCTCTTTGTGCAATGCACCAGGCTTGAACGAAAAATGAGAGCCCGGATCCTAAGATTCCCCATGGATATGGCAGTCCTGGTTAGTACCTCATAAGGATGTAATTTGCATTCTATAAAAGTAAGCGGCCAGAATTTTTCTTTCGGTTGGAAATCAAACTACATACTGCAAGAAGACAACAAACAAGCTCAATATTGGAATGAAGTGTCCATGCTTCCAGGTCTAGTTCTAAAAATAGTGTAACTGCTGCTGACTGCAATGTTCCAAAGAAACACATCCAGGAGGATAAAGAAACGTTGTCAGGATAGCTGGCTGAAGCAGGAACCTGTCAGAAATTATAACAATCTATATTAGTGATTGAAATGTCAGACAAGTGATGAGAATTATTGGATCCAAATACTTGCAAAATCAGCCAAAGAGACCAGCAAGAAGCGCTTCCAAAGAGAAATAGACAACCCAGCAACCAGTGCTCGCCTTCCGATCCAAAAATAGATTTTGCTGGCAAAGATTGTGCGTTAAGTAGCTTGGGGCCCCTAAGCAATGCCATGAAGATGGCTCCAGCGACACAGATCACCGTGCCTGCTATTTTGGCAATACTTCTCAAGCTTCGAATGTTCACCTTTTCTAATCTATAGATTTACAGACAAGGGCGAAAAAACAAGAAGAAATGGTAAAAGAATATTTCTATGCGATGGTTGAGAAGACATACTTGTTTTGAGCAATCTCGTGCCCAAAAATCGATGCCATTAAAAAAGTGATGGCGGGGACTAGTTAGCCATTGCACTTGCCATTGATAAATTGGCCAAAGATAGACCCTCATAGTAGAAATTCTGATTGATTGTCGCCCTGTGCCAGGTCAGTACAAACGAGAAGAACTGTATAAAGATTTGACCTTAGGAAAATGAACTCAATTTCATATATCCAAAGTTGGAAAAAGAAATAGATAAGAAGGAAAAGCAAGGAAAATAGACTTGAGAAACATTACCCGATAAGTGAGGCCAAAAATATCAAAGAAAAGCTCCTTAACCCCATAGAAGATCCACCTGATATTCGCCTGTAGACAAAGGTGAGGTGATTAATTAATATACGTACCCTACATGAATGTTTGAGAGAGAGAGTTGATAACTCCCAAGGGCGGAGGGTAAACCAACAATACGGAGCCGCGGCTCTTCAAAATTTTTAAAAATATTTATTTTATATATATATATTTTATCAATGGCTTTTTTAAAATTTTTATTTATTATATATTATTAAACCCACTCAAAATGAATTTTTTATTTAATACTTAATATAAATAAAAAAATAAAACAGCATAACAAACCTACTTAAATTTATCCTAATTTAAGTTTCTCCATATCTCTTTCTCTTTCTCTTCCTCTTTTTTTTTCTCTTCTCTTTTCTGTTTTTTTATTTTTATTTCTCTTTTATAGTAATTCATCATAGAAACACACCTTATTCTTCAAAAGAGATTTATGAGCTTGTGAGTTTGGAAAGAGAAAGACAAAGATCACTCTCCACCATTGTGTAAAATTAAGAGGAGGTAAAGTTTTCTTTTACTTTCTTCTTTCTATTTGTATTATTTAACTATTATATAAAATCTTGTATTTCGTATTTAATTATTTATATTTTATTCCTTATAGTTTTATGTTTTATTTTTTAAGTTTAAATATAAATAAATAAGAATATTGAAGGTTGACTAGATTTTTTTTTTCAAGTTTGATTAAAATATGAGTAAGTTGAAAACAATTGACAAAATTTTTAAAAGAAAAGATGTAGATCTCTCAAATGATTCTCCTATACTTGAGTCACCAAACTTTAATACTTCAACTTATGAACAAAAGCAATGTGAATCAAAACGTCCAAGGCTCAATCTTGAAGAAATTGATACTTTTCATATAGAAGTTGATCTTGGATTATGACCAATGATATGGGAATTTTCTATCAATCAAAGGGATGAAATTCGTCGTATTTATCTCAAACGTGGGCCATGTCAACCCATTTTTAAGACGTATCTTCTATCATATGATGATCATCTAGGTCGTTTTCAAGTTTCTTGGTTTGAATTATATCCTTCTTGGTTGGAGTATTCTTGTGACAAAGATGCTATTTTGTTTGCCATGCTATTTTTTTGGTAAAAACACCTCAAATCCTCCAAGTTCGAATGCATTTATTGAAAAGGGTTTCAAAAATTAAAAGAAAGTCCATAGTGGAGAAAATTATCCACTTTTGAATCATATTGGGGAAAATTCAAATTCCCCATATAATGTTGCTATAAAATCTTGTGAGGGTTTATTGAAAATATCCCAATATATTGATAAGCTTATCAAAAGACAAGCATCAGAAGAGATCTTGAATTATCGGCTTAGGCTCAAAGCTTCTATTAATTGTGTTAGATGGTTAACTTTTCAAGCTTGTGCATTTAGAGGTCATGCTGAAAGTCCATCCTCAAAAAATAGAGAAAATTTCATTGAAATGCTGAAATTCTTAGGATCTTACAATGATAAAGT